GTGTTTGTTAAATTCGGCATCATGTAAGTTGCGCTGACAGGTCCACACACTGCTTCCCCGCAGCGAGGCCCCCCCGCCCTCCTGTTGATAGTTCACGAGCGTCAAGCTCCTCAAGCCCCCCCCCCCCCCCTTGATAATTCTCGATCGTTGGCACGCTGATAACAATTAATTTTTTTAATGGCACTTCATATCAAAAAGGTTGCCGACCCCTGGTATAGCGGATCTTTGTTAAGATCCATATGTCACGGATAGGATAATAGTCTGTGCTAAATAAGAGACATGTAATCATTTACAAAATATCACCATGTTGTTATTTAACAAAATAATGTTGTTTAGTCGAAAAAACGAACGAGAGGAAATGCAGCCGGCTCTCGATTTTTAATCCTAATTTAATCATCATCTTCACCACGATTATTTATGTTTATGTTCGCCGAATTGACATGAAATCACTGACAAATATGAATATTCTGTATTCAACTTCATTAAAACGTTCTTAACGTGCCTAAACTCAGTAATTCACTAAAAATATTTATATTTTAATGGAGCCTTGTCAGGCAGATCAGGATCCCTGGGTGTTATTTTTCCCCACAATGACCAAGTCGCTGCAAATTATCCCGCTTATTACATGGCCACATTCTCAACAAAGTAACGACATGACTCCCAATATTAATTGAAATGCTTTTATGGATTTAGAAAATGTTTTTATTGATTTAAAAAATAGTTGTATGTATTGATTTAAATTGACATGCATCCGCTAAGAAAAATAGTCCGTTTTTACCGTTTTTCAGTCTGAATGCTGTGTGTTTACACCAATGACGTGTGGTGAGGTTCATGGCTGGTGAGGCACTGACTCTTTCAGAGTCAGATTTACAAATATTATATTTTGACCTTAATCGAAATATTTGGTTATTTTCAAAAGCTTTTTTAGTCTGATGCTTCGATTCATTTTAAACAGACCGTTCAACAAAAGGATACCCAAAATCTAAATATTGGATTGTTCTTTCTTAGTAATATCCCATTTTCATTACAATTGTGGTCTTACCTTGACTTGAAGATGAAGTCCATGCTATCCTTCTGGACAACAATCTCTATTACTTTTTTGTAAAAGTCCTCCTTATCTTCCTGTAGTTTCAAAAGTCTAGTTTGTTGTTTGTGTCTACCGTCTCTGCGTAGAATAACAGTAGCAACAAGAACCTGTGGGCTCACGTGCGCCCCCTTCAGTGCGGCAGAGGTTATGGCTGCCTCTCCTGGTGCTTTTTTCATTGCCGTTGTATGATGAGACCAGCGAGCCTAAATATCATATCTATGTGAAATAAGTTATTTAGAGACTATGGATGGCGAGGATAAATGTAATAAAGAGATCTACAAACATTACATTGGTGACATACAGTGAGATGGGAACAGGCATGCGCTTAGGGCCCGCTTTCCAGCCAGTTTCTGTGGGGTGACGCATTCTGAGGTGAGGCAGAGCTCATCTGTGCCTCACCTTACCCCACAGTAACTGGCTTGAGCGCGCTCACAAAATAAGTGCCCGCGCTAAATTAGTGTCCGTGCTCCAGCCAGTTACTGTGGGCTTACGTGAGGCAGAGCACGTCCCTGCCTCACTTCTCATCGCTCCCTGTAGTTGTAGCGGAGCTCGGCAAATTAGCTGATTTTGACTATAAAAAGCGATTGGAATCATACATAAATCACACTTACAACACAGATCAGTGGAGACATTTTATTATTATTACTATTTAGTTTTTCTTTAGTTGTTTTTCCGTTACATTGGAGTATGACAGGTGAGGCTCTGCCTCCCCTGACTGCACGTCGCTGGTTTACACACCTAATGGCCCATCAGCCACAGCTCTCTCTCTCCTCTTAGTATCGCGCACTCCTTTCCTGTAAATTACAGGTCCAGCCAGGCAAAACAGTGCACTTCTCTTTCCCGCACTACTGTGACAGACCATGGGGCTGGGTCAGCCACTAACATATTCATATTGCTCTTCTCAAAAAGAGAAATATGAAAGTGGAAGTGAGTCCGAAGGTGGGGCCCACCTCGCAGGTGGGCGTGGACTACAAGTGTTTTCAGTGCTGCGCGGGTGCGCAGGGGATTACCCAATAGCGATAGCCTTAGAGGGCGAAGGCTATACGAAATAGAAGCTGTTGAACTGCTGTTGTCTTTTGCCGGGCTCCGGTGATTGCCAAATCTGGATGATGCCTTCTGATAGGATTTAGCATGTTTGGCTTGTGTTACCATTAGCATACCGCACCGCTGTCGGCGGCACACCGTCCTCGTCCGATCCACCACTCGCACTCCCTCGTTATTGTAGTCCACAGGGAACCCGAAATGTTCCCACACAGCTGATTTAAAAGAAGCAGGTAGGTCAGGTCTTCTAGCTCCTGTGTGTTATCTGAACTCGCAATACTAACTTTTCTTGTTCTTGTATTTTGTTCGTTTTGTTGTGTTTTCTTCTTCTTCTTCATTTGTTGTTTAAGGGCGGCTGGCAAACAGCTTTTAGGCGCAATACCGCCCCCTAGATTATATATAGTGTAGTGGATACTGCACTGAATGACAGACTTTTTTCCCACTCTTAAAAAAAAGGCGTATTCGTCGTGTGACTGCATGCACCGAACCGTGACGTCCGAACCATGACGGTACGGGACGAATACGGATACTGTTACACCCCTATTCATAATGTATCTGAACACTGCTGTTTGTTGAATCCCAGAGGCTGATAGGAGAGTTTGTGGAGGAAAGTTAGACAAGTTTGGTGATTATGGTCTATTGGCGTCACTGAAGATCACATCACAGCCCCTCGTCTTGATCTGCTTCTTTTAGCATCAAAGCCTCACACAATACAGTCCGCAAGCACACAAATACGGAGCAAAACATTGAACTGTTAGTCATTTGACGACTGTTGTTAGCTGTTATTGTGACAACAACACGGCAGTGCACTCATAATCTGTGTCACACTGACTATTTTGAGAGATCCAAGTTGATGACTTACCAAAATAAATATAAAGCCATTGAATGCAGCGGTGTGGGATTGTGTAATGTTCTACCCTCGCTAGCCGGTTAAACTCATTAAGAGTATGCACTGATCTGAACGCTTCTCTGTTCTACATCACAGCGTTCTGCTCACTTGATTGACCTGTTATATCTCTGACATTCTGCTGTGTTGTTTGAACAGAAAGGTCCATTCAGCTCTCTTTCTATTTCTTTGTCCACAAGTAGATTCAGCACATATTTATCCAGGCCAGCCATATTAGGGGTTTTCGGAAGCATCAAACTAAAATGTAGTCTCTAAAATACAAACGTAGTGTGGAAAAGCACTGCAGAATAATGCAACATTGCCTCCCGGGAAAGATGAAGAGATATAGGCATGCAGGTAGAGGAAGGATGGAAAATTTGAGAGAAAAAGGTTTTACAGCTTACATTAGAAATGTGGAAATGAAGAACAGCAGAGGGCAACACATACAGTGAGGAGGTTCTGTATGCAGTCCTGGAGGATCGCATGTTGTGTGCCTGCCACAGCCTGGGGGACTCATAACCACTCCTCTGGAACCTAACCCGTCTCCCCACAGCAACAAGGGGCTTTTAAAAACGGGGATAAAATGCCACTAAAAATTGTTTAAAAGAAGCTAAAGGAATTTATTGAGCAGAAATGTTCTACAATGAACTCAAAAAAATTCTGGGACATTAGCTAAAGTCTAATAGTCTAATAATATCATTAACCCTGATGACCCATGCAAAAAGCACAAATTAATGACTTTTTTTTAAATTGAGGACTTCCCTTCTGAATGGACAGATGTTTAAGAGTCCATCCCTGCTACTAACCCGGACGCAAAGCTGTTGACTGACCCACCTAAGGTCCAATCACTTGTTAAGCATACCTAATCTAAGAAGGCCCCAGGGCCAGATGGAATCTCTGCCTTTCTCCTCAAAACCCTTGCAGAGGAACCGACATCAGCATGGTGCCCCGTTCAAAAAATCTGTCGACCTGCACACTGTGATGAAAACTTCTGGAGCAATGGAGACAAAACTCAGAGAGACACAGGGAGAGCTGGAAATTGATGGCAAACACTGAAGGTTTATTAAGAAGTTACGGCCGGAGAATTTGACAAGACATGTGCTGTACCACGAGGTGACAGCTGCTGCCAAACCAATTCTGAAGATCTCTTCTGCAGTTCGAGGTTTTAACTAGTTCAGAGTGTAATAATCAACATTCTTCATCAGCGAGACAAAATGGACCCTGAATATAACTAGAGCTGTCGTCCATAGAAAATAATGTGAGCCAGGGAACCTACGTTCCAGAAAAGAAAGGCCTCTAGGTGTCTCTGAACAATAAACTACCTCATGGCAGCTTGTGCTCATAAACTGGCATCAACAATGATCCCAAGCTGCCCTCCTTAAGAGAGATAGCAGAAATACCCGAGGCCGTAGACCTATGCCATTGGAAAGGAGAAAAAGAGGTGAAAATGATTAACTGTGTCAAAGGTTAAATACCTAAGCAAATTATTCCCCAACACACACCATCCCCTCTGGAAAAATATCTATAATAATACTGTCCTTAAAAAAGTAAGAAAGATGTTAGGCCTGCTGCACTGATATCCATTGTAATGAAATGCTTTGAGATGATTAATGTGTCACTGCTTCAGATGAGGGAGCTTTATTTATCTTCACTGTTAAAGTTTGCATACAGCTTACATATGGGAAACAGTTACGCCGGTTACTACCGTATTAATATACATGCCAGTAAATCAGTCCCATTGTCCACAATTGAGATGAGTTTTAGTGTAGAATTTCTTGTCTTCTGGAATTTAAGAACACATTTTGTTGTCACATTTATACATTATTACAAAGATTTTTCTATAATACCAAACACAATCTAAACTCTATCCTAAAATGTGACAAGAAAGCACTTCAGAATTTGGAAATGTTCTGAAATTAGGCCTCATGTTTTTATTAATTCCTCTCTTTCTTTCTCCTTTCTCTTTCTCTGTGTGTCTCTGTGCAGGGCCGGGTTTGAACAGGATATTGAAGGTGACCACTTGTTTCATCAGGACAGCTGTCATGGTGAGATAAACTCATTCTACAGCCACAGGACTAATTTCATTTCATTTCAAACCTTTATTTAACCAGATTGGTCCCATTGAGATCATAGATCTCTTTTTCAAGGGAGACCTGCAACGTCTGACAATATCAGTTGTAATATGAGAGTTTCACACTGTAAAGTCAGTCAATTACTAAAGTGCAGCAATACTTTGGGATATAAACCTGACAGTAAATAAGATTGGAAGAATTTGATAGACATAAATGTACTTTTTGCTACATCATTTGACTGCTGTGTTGTTTTTGTCTGTGCAGTTAATGTGTTGGCAACTGTACGGAACCAGGAGTCTGCGGCCGACTCAGCCTATGGTAAAAACCTTTTCTTCAATTTCATGAGCAGAGTCGTAGGAAAGAAAGAGTGGTGGAGGTGACGGGACAGCACTACTACTGGGAATGCTGTTTGATTATCGGCAGTAACTTAACATGACTGAAGGCCAACATGAACCTGTAAGATAAATAAGACATCTGAAAGTAAAAACAGCAACGTACAAGAAAAACGAATCCACAGATTTAATAGAATCTACATAAGAAGTAAAAACAGCGCAGCATGGTCTTACTCAGTGCCGGAGGTAGAAAAGTACTCAGATCCTTTACAAAGTACAAATACTATGGTCTTTAAATACTCAACTTAAAGTAAAAACCTGATTTAAAAATGTGACTTATGTAAAAGTACAAAAGTATTCAAATCAAAATGTACTTTAGGTACAAAAGGTACAAGTAATCGTTATGCGCAGTGGCCCATTTCAGAACTATATAAAGTTCAGAAGAAGTTATTTAATTATCAAACGTTAAAGTACTCGTTATGCAAAATGGATTATTATAGTTGTCATTTCTTCCAGTTTTTATAAATTAAAGAGCAATTTAGTGTTGCCAAATTCAGATACTTGAAATACTGTTTGGAGTACAGTATTGCATTTCAGCATATCAGGTGTTATTACATATACAAACTGTAAACTGACTGTGAGTGTTAAATAAGTGTAGTGGAGTAAAAGTACAATATTGGCCTCTGAAATGTAGTGGAGAATATAATGTTTGATTAAATGTACTTAGTTACTTCCCACCACTGCTCAGCGCCCTATATGTTCACCAGCTGCTCGCTGTCTATGTCTGTATGTGTGTATAGTGGTGTTTTACAGTACTCTATAGGGGCGTTCACACCAAGTTCTTTTCCCACAATAGTTCATGAGAACTCAGTTCATGAGAACTCTTTTAGTTCTGATGAACTAAAGCAGATCGCGTTCACACCGCAATGAGTTCCTGGGGGTGGATTAGGCAAATGAAGCTGCTGACGTCACTTCTTCTTCTTCTGCTGCTTTGAGTTTAATGGCAGGCCGCAAACAACTTCACGGTGTATACTACCACTCGAAGTCCCCGGCCGGAAGTCCCGAGTAAACCGCCAGAACGCCGACACCTCCTCATCTCCACCGCTCCCATGTTTTCTTTTGTGTTGCCATAAGTTAGTCTCTCTGCGTTTGTGCGCTGGGCTAATGCTAATGCTAATAATGCTAATGCGAGGATAATAAAATGGCGGCTTCACAACACTTTTTGGGAGTTTTACGGGGCGTGGTTTTTCTGATTGGCTGGGCGGAATGCCCAGCCAATCAGACATAGGAACTTTTTTCTCCCACGAAAGTCCCTGCTCTCTAGCAGGGACTGAAAAGGGGGTAAAAATGGTTCTGATGAACTAATTTAGTTCAGGGGGCTTTTTGGTGTGAACGCAAATATATCTGAGTTCTGATTAACTATTGTGGGAAAAGTACTCTGCAGAATGTGGGCGTGGCCTATACATTTTTTTTAAATTGCGATAGCATAAAATGAGCTTCGGATGCAAAACTTGGGACACACGTCACACATAGGCGGATTTTGCGGGGGGTCAGGGGGGGCATTGCCCCACCTAGTGGCTGAAATATGTTACAGCATTACTACGTCGAAAACTGTTCCAATACAAATATTTCGTATATCAATATTTTAATAAGGTAGGACACTGGTTAATAATATTGTAGCGTGTTCAAGTAACCAAGGGATATAGTAGTTATCAAATAAGTATAAGATGTGCACAGTTATGATAAGTTTTACAGTTATGTAATGCTGTTGGGGGGAGAGTGTGTGTGTACGGCGGGCATGGAAAAGTCATACTCAGTGCGGTGAGCGCTGGCTTTATTGCTACTGTATCCGTAGCACCCCACGCAATAGTTGGGACTGTGTACTGACGTCAGTAAAAAAGGTTTGCCCCCCCAAGCGTAAATGTCAAACTCCGCCTATGACTCGTCACAGCCCACAACCTTTTCGAAGAATGTAAAAAAAAAACGTAATTTTTCAAAAAAACTGCTCACTAGCGCCCCCTATTGTGTGGTAGTCACATATAGTTTCTCAGAACTTCACGAATTTTGGCACAGACATTCCTCATGGAATTGCGGACATATTTCTAATTAGCTTCCATTAGCCCCGCCCCCGACAAAGTCGGCCATTTTGAAAAATGTGCGTTTTTCCTGCATTTTAATGACATTTTTGCGAACTCCTCCTAGGGGTATTATCGAAATAATTCCAATCCAGGACAAGTTCAGCCCCTATCCAATATGATGCTAAATTGTGAAGCCAAATTTTGATAGCTCAATCGTGGAGGTCGTAAGCTAACAGCGAATACACCATTTTTGACGATTTACATGTCACAAATTACTCCAAACTACTCGCATATAGTTTTTCCGATATTCACGAAACGCTGTATACACATTGCTCTTATGATTGCGGACATATTTCAAATTGCCTTCCATTAGCCACGCCCCCCAGAAAGTCGGCCATTTTGAAAAATGTGCGTTTTTCATGCATTTTAAAGGTCTCATGTCATGGCCATTTCTACTGATCATAATTCCATTGTTCAGGTATACTAAAATAGATTTATACTGTGCAATTTTCCAAACTCACATTGGTTTCTCATACAGCATCTCTGTAAAGTATGTGTATTCACCGGTATTCACTCTCTGTCCTAAACGGCTTGTTCGAGCTCCTGCCCCCCCTCCCTGTGAGCCCAGTGTGCTCTGATTGGTCGAGAAGCTGACAGGCTCGTTGCTGCTCGCACACACACAGACACTGCTGCGGGCTGCTGCAGGAGCAGACAGGCTTGGCGATACAGCTAGAACAAGCAAAACTCATCCTGAGCACACACAAACACTCACAGCTGAAGACGATTTACATGTCACAAATGAATCCAAACTACTACATTTCCATTTTTTTAAACATTTACAAAGGCACCGTAACTCTGAATTACCTGAAATTCTGCACACTTATTCGGGTGGACCTGCTCTACATATTATCTCCTTGAACCCCTAAGCTCCGCCTACTTGCATAATGTTAAAAACAGTGAAATATGAACTTAAAGTGGACCTATCATGCTATATTTGAATAATATATTGTAGGGCCATACCTATATAAGGTATATTTATACGTTTTCTTTTTCAAAATACCAAACAGATCATGCATTTTAGCCATGCCTCATTTCACTCTATTTTGCTCTCCTCCACCCTGTCTTTGCATGCGCTGCAGCTGACCACGCCCCCCTGCAAAGGAGGGGGCCGAGTTACGAGCGTTGTGTTACCATGCTGTTACCATGCCACGGCAACCTCTCATTCCCCTGATAGGTCAGCTCCTCCGTCCTGACGTCAGAGAAATGTTCAAATCTGTATCAGTCTGTATCAGATCCGTTGCAGCCCCGTTTTTAGAGATTTGGGTATGGAGGAAAAGAGAGAGGGTTGACACTTGGTGAGTTCCCTGGAACACCGGGGACACATATTCATGAGACGTACAAAAGTGCATTTTGCATGATAGGTCCCCTTTAAATTTCAAATTTTAGTTTTTCAACGCCAGACTTAGTATACAGCATCGGTGGAGGGTCAGACACATTACCGTAGAAAATGAGCATGTTCAGTCAATAAATATAGCCGTCATTAATCTAAACGTGTTTGCAGAGCTGTGCTTCGTTGACATACTGTAAGTCCAGCCATGCGTCACGCCTCTTTTAAACATCACTGTTGGCTGAAATCGACTCCGGAGAATACATCAGTGTACCCTCGGTTATAGCTCCTCCAGAGAGACTCCTCTCTCCTCTAAATCAGTGTATCCTCGGTTACGGCTCCTCCAGACAGCCTCCTCGATAATCGATCCTCGACGAGCCTTTAGGGAAATTTGTTTTCCTTCGAGACGGCGCGCCGACATCCGTTTCCGGATCGCTGCCGGAGGACCTGGGAGTCTGGGATGCGAAAATGAGACAAATGACAAACGGCTCATTTCAGAGGACTCACGCGCGTCTGCTTGACGCCGGGACGACCGGCCGCCCTCCCCGACAGGCGCACGGACGTGAGGGCCCGCTCATCACTGCGCGCACTTCTGTGACGGCAGTTTTAATTACGTTTATTCTGCTGCTGGGCTCAAGTGTCAAGATTTTGAACAATCAAAATAGGTTTCATGTTTCTAAAGCTGAGAATCCTCGCTTATATTACAGCAATCTTCTTAGAATGCTTTTATACTTTTAGCACTTCCGGTTTGGTGAGCGACGTGATGGCTGCTTAAAGAACGTGCTCCCGACATTCGGTGCTAAAAGTTACCAACGACAACCGGAATACATAAAACATTTATTTTACAGTTTGGCTTAAGAGTGTTGGTCTTGAGAATGCCTAGAGGAAAAGGTGAAAAACGAACGCAGACTGAGTTATTTGACGGAGACGGAGCTAGCAGCGTGGTGGGGGACAACGACACTCCAACGCACCTCGAGGAAGACCAATCTGGGAGAGCGGACATGAGCCTCATACTGAAAGAATTGAGAGAGTTCAGGAAAGACAACGGTCAGCAGCTGAAAGAGATTTGTGAAGAAATAAACAAGACTAACACTAGAATTGCCGAGGCAGATGGGCGGATTGATGCGACTGAAACACGGCTACAGGTGACAGAGCTGCTACAACTACAGGTGCATCTGGATGCTAAGCTAACGGACCTGGAGGGTCGATCCAGACGGGAAAATATCCTAATCCACGGTGTTAAAGAGGGGGCGGAGGATAATTCCCCATCGATGGGAACTTTTGTGGAGGCTTTGCTGAGGGAGGGTTTGGACCTCCCGGCTACATTTGAACTACGAGTTGAGAGAACGCACCGCGCCCTGATGCCGAAGCCGCCCGGGGAAGCCTCGCCGAGGTCTATCGTAGTCAAACTGTCAAGCTACAGGACGAAAGAAGAATTGCTGAGACTAGCCTGGCAAAAGCGAGGATTTCAACATCTCAAAAGGAGGGTAAATCTGGATCATGACTACGCGCCTGATGTGT